GGAGTTCACCCAGCGGGGCCGGGCGCCGGCCCGGCCTGCAGCTCCGTGCCAAGCCCGGAGGGGCCCCTCGCCGGGCTGCGGCTCGCCCTGTCCAGCCAAGGGGCTGCGCGCCGCGGAGCCCAGCGCAGATACCGGGGCTGGCGGGGCCCTGGCGCTCCGTGCGCTCTGCCTCTCCAAGCGCCCCAGGCTGCGCGCCCCGGTTCCGCGGGAAGCCCTGGCAGGGCGCTCGGCGGGGCAGGGACCGGCACCTACCCAGGGACATGTCAATCTCCTCCGCGCCCCGCTCCGGCCCCGCGCCGGCTCCCGGCTCCGGCCCCGCCGCCTCCATGGGCTCCTGCTGCGGGTCCAGCGCTGGGAGCGGAGAGGCAGTGCCCAGCCTGGCCGGTGCTCCGGGCGCGCTGCCCAGCTGCCCGTCCCCGCCCGCCCGGCTCTGCGCCCAGCTCCTCTGTGCGCCTGCCTGGAATGTGCCGGGCCGGAGAGTGCCAGCGGGCTAGCCAGCGCCCACCCCTGGCACCAGCCCCTGGCACCCTCCCCAGGTACCCACCCCTCGCACCCGCCCCTAGCACCCTCCCCAGGTACCCACCCCTCGCACCCGCCCCTAGCACCCTCCCCAGCACCCACCACTGGCACCCGCCCCTGGCACCCACCCCTGGCATCCTCCCCAGCACCCAGGCAGCACCGCCCCTGGCACCCTCCCCAGCACCCACCACTGGTACCTACCCCTGGCACCCGCCCCTGGCACCGTCCCCAGCAGCCAGGCAGCACCCGCCCCTAGCAGCCTCCCCAACACCCACCACTGGTACCCACCCCTCGCACCCTCCTAGCACCCGCCCCTAGCACCCTCCCCAGCACCCAGGCAGCACCCGCCCCTAGCACCCTCCCCAACACCCACCACTGGTACCCACCCCTGGCTCCCTCCCCAGCCCCCAGCCAGCACCCGCCCCGGGCACCCTCCCTAGTCCCCAGCCAGTACCCACCCTGGGCACCCACCCCAGTCAGCACCCACTCTGGGCACCCGCTGCAGTCCCCAGCCAGCACCCACCCTGGCACCCTCCCCGGCCAGCACCCGCCCCGGACACCCTCCCCAGCCAGCACCCACTTCTGGCACCCTCCCCAGCACCCAACCCGGACACCCTCCCCAGCCCCCGGCCAGCACCCGCCAGCATCTTCTCTCCGCGCCTCAGCTCCAGATAGCACCATCCCTTCCTCTCCCGCCCCATTCCAACAGCATTAGCAGTACCCACCTCGCCCTTTCTAGCACCAGCACCCCCTTCAGCCCCTCTTCCAGCAAGAGCTTTCCCCCCAGACCTCCACCTATCCCAGCAGCTGCTGCCTCCTTTTCCAAATCTCCCTGTCCCAGCAGCAACCGCCAATGCTGTGTCTTCTTCTCTCGACCTCCTGCTCTCCTGTCTCCCTTTATTAGATTTACTTCATGAATTGTAGTGGGGGTGTGGAGGTTCCACTACTTCAGGGTATGCCACAGGCTCATCTGAGGCTGAGCAGTTCTCCTCGGGGGTTAGCGCTGCCCAGGCCTGGGCGTAGCCCAGAGGTGAATATAATGTTGGGAAATTATCCACCGTTTCTGAATTATGGAAAAGGGGGAAATGGGCTTTTAAGGCTTGTCACAGGGGGCGCTGGCCCTTTGACGGGAGATGGGACGCAGCCAAGTCTCCTCCCCAGATGGGGGGAGATGAAAAAGGTCGCCTGAGCCCATCAGGCCTCTGGAGAGAGAAGGAAAGATGCTAGCCAGCTGGGGCCATCGATCCTTGCTAGGGAGCACATGTCTGCAGGAGTCCCTGAGACACTAGGGGAGCCTCTAGAGCAGTGGTTCTCAACGGATTTACCATTGTGGGCCACATATGCAGCATTCTGTGTTACGGGGGCTGCAGCCACACAATAGATATACTACCCGTATGGCCCTGAGGATGTCACATGGGCCACAGCTGTGTGCTGATTGGACTATACGCTGCACACAGGTTGAAAACCAGTGCTCTAGAGGGCTGTGCCTGGGTCTCCAAGCCATCGAGAAAAGCTGTACCGGGTGGAGATGCCTCAGAGGAAGGATTATTGTTATGAAGGTTTTATTTTGAGTTCTGTTTTTTGAAATGTTTCGTTACTAGCCTGGGTGGAATGGCCAGAGGGCAATTTAAAGGGAGCAGGGAGAAGCCCAGCCCAAACCCAGAAGAAGGGCAGTGTAATGCCTTAGCCAAGAAGGAAGGATTTGGGCCTGGAAGACCACTGAGAACTGTGTGGACAGGTTGTCATAAACTAGACCCCAGAGGAGAGTTTTGTTTTAAATACTTTAGAGTGTGGAAAGTTATTGAGGGAAGGGGCTGCATGGCCCCCCTGTGCCTTGAGAGGGTGCCCTGGAAGTGGTGTTCCCACAAGGCCAAAAAACCTGCCCTTTAAAAACATGGTATTTTCAGTTTGTGTTTAGATTGTAAACTCTCTGGGGTAGGAATTTGTTGCTGCTCTGTGTTGGTACAGTTCCTAGCACAATGGGCCTCCATGCTGGGTTGGTCTCTAGGGACTATTGTAATACAAATGAATAATAATATGGCCTATTAAGTGCCTTCTCCTAATAGTGACCCTTCAGCCCACAAATGTTCCTGTTCAAAAGCAGCTGATGTTGCTGGTTCTACTTGGGAAGTGGTTTAAGATTAGGGCTTAAATTGGAGTTACTCAGGAATATTTTCTTGTTATTCCTGAATAACTCCATGTGTGGGCTCTGATACTATGGAAAAATAGTGTCCACACAGTTATTCCAAATAGTTGTCGTGCTCTAAATTCACACCCTACCTTAATTCAAGTGTAGACAAACCATTAAGGAAGTACAAAGTGTTTAGTCCCCTTTGGATCTTGCTGGCAGGGAACAAAGATGCTTTAAAATTGAGTTGTGTTTCAAATCCTTTAACACCCAGTGTAGACAATAGTTTAACAAAATTAAAATTGTTTCCTTGTGGCCAGCTAGTACTATGGGACCAGCTAATACCATTTTAAGGTGCTATTTTGTGATGCATGTGATGCCAAGGGGTGTTTCAAATCTCATTAGCTAACTTGAGTTTGCTGACTCAGTTTCCACAAGCACCTCTTTTCATCATCTAGACAAAACCTGTGTCACAGACTCCTTCTTCCCTACTTCATCTGTTAGGGACCTTGATGGTATGATGAAAGAGAAATTAAAAACAGATAGATGCTTCCTTATAAATCCCAAATACCATTGTGTTCCCCCTCCCCCCTAAAAATTAGCAGTAAACTGTAGAGCATAATTAGTATGGACTTGTTTATTGCTGAGTTTCCTCTCTACCCTTTGCTCCGTCTCCCTTTAAAACACAATCTGTGGCCCCCATGAATAAGATCCAGACCCAAGTCTTAGCACCCTGAATGGATTGCAAGTGCAAGTTAGATTCTTCAGTGCACATTTCTCTCCCTAGACAAGAGAACAGGTCAATGCTGGGAATGTCCATCACCCACTCTCTGAATGCAGAATGTCCTGCCAAACTATCTTCCTCTGCTTTCAATGCCTTATGGAGAAACAAACCAGAAAGGAAGAGAAAAATCTGCTGAAGGAACAATCTACCCTTTTAAATTGGGCTAATGTGATACTAGATGAATAGCATGTTTGTTTCTGCAATTTTAGATAACAATTGCTCTGAAATCATCTCTGCTATAGGGTACATAATAAAGGTCACAT